CATGCACCAATCTCATTCATACACTTGGAAATAATATCCAATTTAAATTTTAAAAAGCCAATGGTGTTAACGTGTTGGCGGGATGCTGGGATGGAATCAACATATTATCCTGCATGATCACTGTCAATTTGACCATTCATCCACGTGTCCCTACTCCATTCCCTGTTTCATTTTTAGCCATCAGGAAATTAAATAAATTAACAAGAATACAGAAGCTCAAGCCGCTCAACCATAATTTAATCAAAATTTTAAGTCCACATATTTTTTTACCATTTTAATTATTTTTTCTTTTCAAAAGAATATTTGAGAAGGTAACATCCACCCCATGATTAGAGGCATTGTCATGATTTAATTCTTTCTAAAAAATTAAACCATGGATTTTTTTATTAATATGCTAATAAAAGGATCTCTTTTAATTGCCGTATTTTTTAAAATGTATTATTGACAATGTATCGTATTAAACTCATATATATCCATATCGTATTTTTTCCGTATCCGAATTTTATGACTGAATTTTTACAAACGTATTTTTTACCATTTGATGTATCATACCCGTAAAATTCCCGTACCCTTTTTTTGCCGTACCCGTATTTACTAACTAAGCCTGCAGGTACTCGTTTTTGCAAATGCCTAACCCTAAGTGGCTAAGTCCCTAACTCAGACTTTAAAACAAATCTTCATCTTCAACATAACAATTCTCTCCTGCAGTCCCGCCTCTCGATCTCTCATCATTGCATCAATCATCACTCATTCATCATCAGTATACCTCACGGTCCTCACCTGAACCTGATTCATTCATTCTATAAACTCTTAACCTCTCATCTAGTCCGTGATTCCCATTCCCAATACCACCGTCCCCGGTAGCCCTCACTCATCCTCGTCGACTGGTCATCTCCTCTCTCTCACGTCGTCGAGACTTGGGCATCGGCTCGTCATCTCCTCTCTCTCTCCGTCGCAAGACTCGCGACTCTCTTCCCCACCATTACAGTAGATTCGTGAGTTGGGTTTCAAGATCTGTTTTTATTGTATCCATCTTTGTTCCAGAAAAGCTACAGCTTGTTTGACGTTTCAAGATTTGTATATTTTGGCTGATTTGTGAAATCCTTGTCTGTATGAAGTATGAACAGTAAATGTTGAGGATTTTTGTGCTTAGAGTTAGTGAATTGCAGATTTGCAAGCACTGTTTTTAGAGTAATAGCTGTTCGACTGTCCCTATAAATACGGTTTTGAAATGAAGTTGTTTGCCTGTTTTCACAAGTAGCATTTTGTAAATGTGTTATGCACTTATGCATATGCTACGAAATTGGAGCCATGGCTCAAATTTAGAATTCTGTAATGAATTATTTCCAATGTCTTGTACAATTTTTAGAACTGTAAGAATTTTGGAGGTGTAACTATTATAATTGAAAACTATTAGGGGTGAAACTGTAAAAACTGAAACCTGGAGAGAGAAAAAGAGGGTACCCGCCAATCCACCCATACTCATATGACCCATATATTTCAACCCGTATTAGACCCATAACTGTGTGGCCTGTACCCATAATGACCCGACCCATACCCAACCCACCCACCCGTTTTGCCAAGTCTACATATTGCACATAGTACATGAGATTTGCAAACTAATTTTGATAGTCAGTAATAATTGATTAGTCCAAGATTGTTCATTATTTCTGACTAAAATTTAGTGGCAAATAGGATTACATTTAAAAGCAATGTTGTTGCTCCTTGTAATTCACTTGGTGAACACATTAAACATCAACAAAATAAGAGACACAATACAAAAATGTGGATCAATAACATCAATTATCTTCATTGCATATAAAGTCAATAGTCCATACATGGATTTTTTAGCAACATGAGCAATAAAAATCTAAAATTGCACTATCATGTGTGCATAACCAAAAACAAAAATGCATAACCAATCAGTTCGGTCACCTTTTGGAGCTTTACCTTGGTGAAANTTCCACCTCTATTTGTAAGCAAATTAAATGGGTGGTGTTTGGTTGATGAAGTAATTTTATTCGCTGAACTGTGGAAATGTTAAATATCGACTCAGAACTTATCTTATTATGAATTAATTGATATTTATTTAATTGTTCTCATACGATCTATTTTGATGATATAAAAGTTAATTAAGTGTTGTAAAAACTCATATTTGTCAAACTTATAAATTGTATGTGTGCACATATGTTTTGTGTGCACACTAATTGTCATACTTGAGTCTTGACTTGTTTCGTTTAAAGTATGTGTACACAACAGTTTGTGCTTTTACTCTCGATTCAGATATTTGCAATCCAGCACGAGTTGCATATGCTGGATTGCAAATATCTGATAAAGTGAAAAAAAGATTGCTTATTTTTGTCTCCCACTTTTTAGGACCTTTTTACATGTCATAACATCCTCATAGTCATAGGGAATAAAGTACTTTTCCCAATTTACTTTGTGGTCTAAACCAAAAGAAGAAAAATTTTCCTTATTTAGATAAACATGCATCAGTCCCTTGTTGGCTTACCTAGCACTATATTGTTGAATAAGAAATCATTCATTATATAACACCTCTTTTTTGCGTATATGAATTAGAACCTTTTGATATTTTGTTTCATTGTACTCTGAAATTTTCTTAAAGTATTTTTTTGCTTAAGGTTCAAGGTTCATTTGCATATTTATGTCAAGACCTCACTATATCAAACACACACTACAAGAAAAATGGCATTTGGCGTCTATCAAAAATAGACGCTAATAGTCAAATTTAGACGTTGATTGTTTATCGCATCTAAAATTCCTAGTCACTAGCTAGTTGCAAAATTACTGTTGCAGAAAGTATCTGCGACTAAAATCATGGTTAGACGCCAAAATGTTTTCTTTAGCGACCAGCAATTTAGTTACTAATTGCCTCAAAAAATAGTTCCCTAGATTAGACGCCAAATGAATAAGGGTAATTTGGTGAAATTGCATGCAACTATTGATTTAGTTGCAAAATTTAGCTTTTAGTGACTAAAAAATGGATAGTAATTCCCAAAAAAAATAGACTCCGAATGCTTAAGGGTAATTTGGTAAAAGCATTTCGCAACTACTTTTTTAGTTGTAAAATACCTTTTTTAATGACTAAAACTTTAGTTGTAATTGCCAAAAAATTTAGTCTGTGAATGTTGGACCGAAATATGATAATTTCCTTTTCGCAACCATTAAATTAGTTGCAAAACGTGTGTTTTAATGACTAAATTATCAATGGCAAAAGCAACTAAATTTTAGTTGCTAGAAGTGTTTAGCCAATTTGCTTTCTTTGATTCCATAACTAATCATTTGGTTAGGAAAATGAATTTTTCTACATCTAAATGATATAATTGCCCATAGTACATGAGATTTGGAAACTAATTTTTGTAGTAAGTAATAATTAATTAATCCAGGATTGTTTATTATTTCTGTGACTAAAATTTAGCAGCGAATAGGATTACATTTAAGAGCAATGTTGCTGCTCCTTGTAGTTCACCTGATGAACACATTGAACATCAACAAAATAAGAGAGACCCAATACAAAAATGTGGATCAATAACATCAATTATCTTCAGTGCATATAAATCAATCGTCCATACATGGACTTTTTAGCAACATGAGCAATAAAAATCCAAAATTGCACTATCATATGTGCATAACCAAAGACAAAAATGCATAAACCAATCAGTTCGGTCACCTTTTGGAGCTTTACTTCGGTGGAAAGCTAGAGTCTTTATCATCCTCACACCTTAACTATTGTAGTGAACAAGCCTATCCTTTCCTGTGGTCTTCCAATACCCAAAGTCAGTAGCACAATTCATTCTAACAAGTCTACAGAAGTTCATTTACATAGCAACAGAAGTTCATTTCAAATAATCGAAAATAGAAACCTGGAGGAATTTCAATTCTAGCAAGTCTACAGAAGTTCAATTACAGAGCAACAGTATTTGCAATAAGCAAGTAGTTAACCTTGGGCAAACTTTCACGCATTTCATCAAGCAACCATCTGCACATGTAAGTCATAAAAATATCAATTAACACTAGAAGTTTCAGAAAATGTGAGAACCATTTTAATAGATGCATACAGAGTGACCCATCCAGGTATATACAAAAAATGGAGCATCCAAATAGTATAGTTATTTTTCGTGCAAATAAATGCTTTATCAATGACTGGAAGATGGAGGGATAATTAACAAGCACATGAACCATATAGAAACACACCTATAGTCAAAAGAAGGAAAAAAACTTATGAAGGGTATTCACAATCAGCTCCACAGTGGCATGATCTGCAGCCGCAGTATCAGTCATGTGAGTATACTGAACCTAAATATTGAGGAAATAATTTTGACATAGAAAGTAATTAAGAAACATTCTAGTCCTATATTTGTGCATAATTTGCATGGAAACTTGGACTCTGCTTAGCATACTAAATGAACTTTGAGGTAAAAATAACAGTGAATAAAACCTTAACAACAACTTTTTGCCATCATGCGTACGAGCGACATGAACTAGTGCAAGGGAAGCACTTTCTATAGGAATAGGATCAAATTCTTCAAAAACCAGCACATAAAGACTTACACATCAGCAAGCGCATATGCCTCCATTGGGAACAACAATATGACCACTCAACATGAGAATTTGTGCATAAATCTCATAAGCACCAATATCGCTTGTAAATAATTCATGAAGTAAAAATTAAATTATTGGCTATTAAAAAGCAAGCCAGATTCATGAAAAGATGTGCATCCTTGGTAGAGAAACCCAAGTTGGACAAATAGTAGGAACAAGTAGACAATGTGGACGATGGTCCAGAGCACACAATTAGTTTTATATCTGATGTGTAAACTTGTTGAACATGTAAAATTCTGTATTCATTTTAACATCATACCATAATATATACTTCAATAGTTCATGTACAGTGATACGAAATAGGATTCTAAACTAATAACGTCATTTAACTTTTGATTTAAGAGAAAAAAAAGGTTGTTCTCTACAAGCTACCACTAGTGTAGGAAATTTGCAGGAAAGAACTCATCACCTTTGCAAAAATCAGTAGCAACAACATCAATAGCTATCTTTATCTTCTCACCATACGTTGTTCTGCTGATAGCCTCTTTAATAAAATCCAATCCTTCTTTCACGCTGCCAACAGGAATTGGACATAATTAGAAAACGAACAACCTTCTAATCAAAGTTTACTAGCATTATGCATGACTTTATATGTCAAATTTAAAACTTAAACAACCATAAATAACAGGAAAGTAAAAAGGAAGCCAAAGAACAAATATACTTTGCATATGAGTAGAAGGCAATAACAAGATTAAGAAACTTACTCCCATTGTAGTGGTGAACCCCAACTTTAGCCAACATCGCATAGTACTCTATCTCAGACTTCCAAAAAGGAGGGCAGTTGTTGGTAATGATAACCAGCTTCGCTGCAACCCAAAAAAGAAAAAGAAAAAAAAATGGTTAACAAATCCACAAGAAATGAAATATTCCCATAACAAAGACTAGATCCAGTCAGAACCCAGTAATTTCTAAGTTCTCATGAAAAAAGGGTCACAACCTAACAACTAAAACACAATTATTTTTCTGGGTCCACAGCTAAGAGTCATTTTAGTTCATAAAAGAAGCTCAAAAATACAGAGATAATATAATCATCAATACATGAAATAAAACGAAAAACAAAGTTAATAGGTTAGGTTACCTTTGGAGCTTCTTACGATGTGAAGCACAGTTTTGCAACCTAAAGTGTACTTGCCACTCTTCATAGAGGAAATTTAACTGACCGGCCATCCAAAGTTTGGATTTAAAAAAATGGCCTTGAAACTGTTTACCATTTTTTTTTTATTTAGAGAAACTGACGTGGCACAGTTAGGATCCATTAAACATGTAAAATGAGTTAAAATAAAAAGATTAAAACATATAAGGACAAAATCATAATTAATGAAAGTTTTTAAAATTTGAAATTTGAAAAAGAGCCCCAAATATTCAAATNAACAACTTCGAATTTATGGACTCGGCTATGTTCGTGGTCATGACATCAAACCTTCTTCCAGGAAAGTAAGCTTTACTCTATCGCTCGAAACCAACGTCATGCTCAAGATACTTAGCAACTCTATCATCCTTGATTCGGATTTGCTAGAACTGCTCCTCGAACGCATCAACCCGATAAGCTTTTGCTGCCATGTAGTATGTCTAAAGGAGGCCAGCACACTTAAACTTTTGTTTTATGTTCTCACCAAGGTGCCTCATACAAAATTCGTGATGTGCTTGACGGCAAATAGTGGCAATCCCCTTCTTTATAGAGTTATGCCTATCGGATATTATGTACAACTCGTCAGTGTCAAGCACTATCGTATGTAACTGCTGAAAAAACCAAGTCCACGACTCGTCATTCTCAGAGTCAACCACACACCATGCAATAGGATATGTGTGATTCTCGCTGTCTTGTGCAATGGCCACCAACAATGTACCTCCATACTTTCCTGTCAGAAAGCAACCATCAACAGCCAACACCTTTCTCATGTTTACAAAACCCCTTATAGCAGAACCGTAAGCAACAAAAAAATATTTAAACATCATATTCCTGTCCCACTTCAAAGTCGTCTTGCTACCTTGGTTTTTCAACTCAAGCATATAATAGTACGCTTCTAATACTGCATACCCGTGCGTCGGCGTGCCCCTCACAAAATCTTGTGCACGTTGTCTCCCTTTCCAGCATTTCCAGTAACTAACAGCACATCCCAACTCTGTGCGCACAAGTCTTTGAATGTCTTTAGGAGATGTACCTTTCCCTTCAACGAACCGACTTTTGACAAATTGTCCAACAACATCAGCGGACGCTTGTCGATGCTCACCTGAAATACGTCCCAAACCACAAGTGTGCTCAGGGGTATATGTGCTAAGCATAAATTTTTCCGACTCCGCCAACCTTCTACAATAAATCCGCCACTTGCACTTTCGGTCACGACATGCAACCGTCACATCCAATGAATTTGACTTTTTGGTGATGAACTCAAAATTACCTCTCACGGCAACAAGTTTTAGCTTCCTCACCACTTCCTCTTTGTTGTCAAATAAATACCCTATGTGCAACTCCGATCCATTCGTAAAAACATGAGCTGATTCACTACTACCTCCAATTGCCCTCTCTGAACCTGCATAAACGACCATGGTGTTCTCTTCCTCACAATCTACGCTTTCCGCATAATCTGTATTTAAAGGAATCTCTACATCTGTGGGAACATCTATGGAGTCCTCCCCCTCAACATTTTCATTCTGCCCCCCATCACCAACCTCTTCTATAGTGTCCTCCTCACCACCTAATTCACCGTCTACTCTTGATTTTTTAACTAACAAATCAATGACCTCGTAGTTCAAATTAAAACCAGGCAAATCTCTGCCTACTTCCTTGTTATCCCCTTCCTTTGAACCAACTTCAAACGGTTTTTCTACAAGAGAAATCCTTAAAATCGGCCTCGAACCATTCTCGACCACATCAATTATATATAACTTCACACTTTCATCCGAATTTAATATAACAGGAGGTACCTTATAATGTTCAGGAACTCTGCTTAAAATATACTTCACAACTATATCACTACGCGAGCAAATCAAATTACCTATTCTAATTATTTCATCAATCAACTCATCAAAACTAACCTCTGTGCTCACAGCAATTGGTATAGCTTCTTTGCTCTTCCCAATCTATTTTTAGCTATGTTCTTCCTCCACCTACTCACTAAAATATTCAACACCCAAAACAACTTGTCCCATGTGTAATAATAGCCAACTACCTGTAATGCAAGAAAAAAAATATTCTTAAATGTTGTACTAAGGGTTCAAATATTTTAAAAAGAATCTGCACAGTCGCTTATATGGTCTGCTGTATCGCTTAAGCAATCATGGTTATTTATACTGGATTGCTTAAGCGATACACTTGATCGCTTAAGCGATCCAGTATAAATAATCATGGCTGCTTAAGCGATCTTATGCCATTTACTGATTGCTTAAGTGATTTGCTCCTATACACCAGACTTTTACCAGATCGCTTAAGCGATCTATCTGCTGCATACCTGATCGCTTAAGCGATCTATCTGTTGCATTACTAGACCTACCAGATCACTTAAGCGATACACCAGATTGCTTAAGCGATCCATCATACCCAAAACACATTTTCAGTCATCTCCACCTACAATCGATTCCATCATACCCAGAACATATACCCAGAATAATTTTTCAACAAATTTCACTCCTTTCAACTTGCATTACATCAAACACAACCCAACAACCTAAACAACTAAATCAAAATCATAACCCAAACCCCATCCATTATTAAATCTTTGTAAATCTAAATATAAAATGTAAAAAGGANTAGGATGTTGCAGTGGCATGTCTAGAGGTACACCCATTCACATTACGAGCAAATAGACGTTGAGATTCAAGCGGCTGGGGTAAGATTAAAGGAAGCTTTTGCATATGCAGTTGCTTTAAAATGTCGCTTTAATCTGATTGATTTTGTTTCTTATTATAGGGACTCGTCCGTCCCTTTCTCACCGCTACTGGGGTTGAAGCGGAAGAAGACTATGTCAAATCTTTCAACGCACTGGAGGATGCACGCGATGAACGAATAGACCGCCTGATGCGGGACCTAGAAGGGGTCACGCATGTGATGGCAGTTGCGGGGCCACTGCTTCACAACGTGGTTGATGCCGAGGAGGATAAAGCTCCAATCGGCCGGAGGTCAGAGGAGGAGGAGGAGAAGAGGGAGGAAGAGGTTCGTATGCCTCAGCAAACACGTAGAACAAGTACCGCTTTGTTGAGACATCGGCGTCGGGAGAATGAGGTTGTTGACCTCATAAACGGCTTGTTTGAGAGTTTTACAATAGCCGTTTATGCAAGGTTTGACAAGATGGAAGAGTGCATGAAAAGGGTGGAGGAGAAAGTGGATAAGCTAGGAGAGAAAGTTGGTATAGTGGAGGAGGAAGTTGGTATAATGGAGGAGGAAGTTGGTGGAGAATTAAAGGCGGTTGAAGTGAAAACTGGCTTGAAAAGAGAGAGCCGGAAGAGCAAGTTTGTGAAATCGCCTTACATGGTAGTGACACAGGGAAAGAAGAAGAAAATTAAGAAACAAATGGAGGAAGAACCAGAAATAGAGGAGGTTTAGGAGGTTGGTGGAGGAAGTGGGGCGATGATAATAGAGGAAGGCTGAGGCGAAGGAAGGAGGGATGTAAAAATGGAGGAAGCGGGAGGAAGTGGGCAAGGGAAATTGCAGTCAAATGTCGATTTGTATAGGCCAATAGAAGAAAAGAAAAAACTCTTCTATGCTTATTACAATGGATTAGGAAGTAATGGCCATATAAAGTGTAAGACAAGGGATTATCCCCGGGAATGGTTTAGGAAGTTGTTGACGATGTGCACGTGGCTTGAGGACTCGGTGAGTTATTTTTGCTTAATTTTCCTTATTTTTGCCTATGTTTTCCATACTTATCTTGTTGCTTTTATTTGATGCAACACATCGATGAGATATTGGCACTGTATTGAGTTACGACAGACTACTGATGGGATCTGTTGTGTATCCCGACTGTGCCATCATTGATGTGGCATTTGGCCAAAGGCTGTGCTGCGGCCATATCACACTTTAATTAAAAATGTCGTGTGCTAGTGGTGGCAGTAAAAGGACGAAGCGAAAAGATTGGCCTAATACAGTTGGAACTGACATACCATGATTTTCATTTTGATGACAGAATTATGCAGTATTACGGGGGGACAACCTAATAGTGGCCAACAGTTGGGCCTTTGTTGAAAAGGCGTTGTGATGCTCATCCTGATCACAGCAGATGCACTGGATAGCGTCGTTGCGCATCTAGAGGAGGGGTGCTGGAACGATCCTTGCTGCAACCCCACAATTTTCGAGACAAGCAGTTGTAGGTGGAGTTGGAGCCACTGTCCAAGTTGTTCCCGCACTTGTGATAGCGGGATGTTTGGGGCCATTGGGTGATGAAGTACTAACTGAAAGTGGCCAATTAAGGCGCTCTACCGGCCCAACAAAGGAGTCAAGGTAACTTCTGTATAAAACTAACTTATATAATACAATTGTTCTATAAGTTTATTCTAATGCAATGTCTCTTCCCATTGTATGCTGAATATGGGGTATATGCCCGAAATTTTTGAGTTCGGCATGACCAACACCCCGATGGATGGGTTGAATGATGAAACAATGAGAGACTGTCCGGGAGGGCTGGGCTATCGACGCTTCCATGGGCAGTGGATCTGTTTTGAATGCCAAACCCATAAAAAGGTATGAAAGTTGCACTTTGGAATTTTGTAGTTTATGTGATGTCGATGTTCGTACTTGGGTTGTGGTGCTGATGCTGCAGGTGTCATGCTTATATGGATCTTTACCGAAAGCACATACTGAGTAACTTTCTCACCTACACACACTGTACTATTTACGTGTTTTTTTTTTTACAAAAGTTGACGTGTCGCAGGTTCCTTGCAAAATGAGAGGAAACTTCTCAAACAAGGCTGGTGTGCAATAGAGGAAAGGAGGCATCTGTAATAAAGCTGCTGGGAGGCATGATACAAAACATGATCTCAAAGAGTTGCTGGCATTGTATAAAATTTTGGTAAAGAATTGGATCTGACATTTGGGAGATAACTTTTTTTTTGTCCTATAAGATATTCATAGCAGGTTCATTTACTATGTATAGTGTTCTTTGGCTTCACCCAAGCCGGA